ATTATTTATGATTAAGAAATGCCTAATATCATTTTCTTGCTTACCTACTCAGCCTTTTTTCCTAATTTCACTCCATTGAGGAGAGTAGATACCTTCAGAGAGCATAATTAAGCAGAATGGATATTATCAAACACATGTTAGCAAGATGTCTAAATAAATTAGGCTTTCTCACCTCAAATCTGGTTTGCTGAAGAATAAATGGATGGATCTTCTTAAGTCGATAATTGGAAAGATGTCCATTACAGGGCTCCAGTGGATGGTGTGCAGAGAAGTAAACAGCTTGGATATGAATTTCAGCTCTGCTGCTTACTGGCTAAGGGCTGTTTTTTTTTGTTTTTTGGGTTTTTTTTATCTGTGAAATGGTGATAATGTTGCCTGACATTAAGTAGATATGAGGATTAAATTAGATAACTTTTGTAAGACACTGCCTGGACAACTTATCAATTACTAGAATATCCACTACTCTCAATTGTTATCATTGTCATTGGTATTATTATTAACAGCATATCAGGTGACAGGTGAACTTGCCAGTCCTGTACAAAAAAGCCCAGTTGTCAGTGTGTACACATGCACATGAACAGACACCTCTGAAGGTAATTTACTTCCTTCATCCAAAGTAGAAACATTTTATCATACATTGTAACAAACATTTTAAAAAAATGCGTGCGCGCGAGTGTGTGTGTGTGTGTGTGTGTGTGTGTGTGTGTGTGTAATAGAAGGTACATTTTTTAAAATTCAAAAATAAAAAATTAAGATATTTGAAAGTTATTCAAAACTTTCTTGCTTTATTAACAAACTAGTTTATTTTCTAAGTTGAAATTTGCTAATATCCTTTATAAATACTTCCTAAAATTAAAAAAAAAAAAATTATTAAACTAGTCACTTAACTGTATATCTTTGCAGTTCGAATTAACTTCAAGTTGTGCAGTTAAGATTTCCATTGAGATTAAAACTACATGAATCATGGTTTTGAATTACAAATAATTATGTAAAATAGAATAAGATGGGAAAAAAGAAGAGAAGAAAAAGACTAGATCCAAGGAGTTGAATAAGATAATATCTCAATTACAACGACTTTTGCAGATTCTAATTTTGCTCCCCTAAAACTTACCAGATGGTGAAACAAAATCATCAAAAACGAAATTATGGTGGGTAATTCATACTCATTCCTCTAAACTGAATTTTCAAAGAAAGCTAGAGAACAAAGGAGGACCCTATTCATTTTCTCTGTTAAATGTGTGAAAATTCCATCT